CTCAGCAGGTCCCTGGGGAGCTTGCTTGCCTCCCGGCAGGATTGCGGGGCTGGCTGGAAAGGGTGTTCGGGTGCAGGGCGGGACCTGGCAGCTCTGGGGCAGGGAGGGCCCCTGGTCCACTCCGCAGATGTTTGCTGATTGCTCACTGCGTCCTGGACCCGGAGACACGGGACCAGCAGAGCCAGGCTGTCCTGGCACAGTACAGGCGCTTCCCATCCTGAAAGGAGGAAGGCTGTGGGCTGGCCCTCGGGCGGGGGTGTCGGTTTTGTTTGGCCCAGGCCCGAGCCCCAGCCACCTGGGTGGTCCAGCTGAATTCGGGTAAGACAGGCCGCCTGGAACACCCTGCCTGGGCACTATTTCTGAACCACTGGAAGAAAGGGGTGATAAAAGGCCCCATTTATTGAGCACCTATTACGTGCTGACACCTTGCCACCTTCTCTACGCACTTCCCATGTACTCTGGCTGCTCACCTCAGCGGGTGGGGGCTGACACCACAGTTGACAGACAGGGACACTTGGAGAAGTCACGCCAGCTAGTGAGCACAAACCAGGATAGAAACCAAGACTGTGGCCTGTCACCTAACAGCACCCTGCCTCTGAGGGCGGCTCCCGCATCAGACACCTGCTGCATTACGTGCTGATAAGGACGTGGGGGAGGCAAAGGGGGGAGGGGAGGGAAGGATTTTGGGGGGAGAGGACCGCATTCAGTCCTTCAGCATCATCCAGACCTCACCTGTGCCCCCGTCACCTCCCTGGGCCCCAGGGGTGGAGCCGTGCTATCATCCTCCCCACCTCACAGCCTCACAGCCGGGCTGGAGCTCAGGGTGGAAGCGGCTAAGCAAGGACACCCCGCGGGACGTGGGTAGCCCAACCCGTTACCCCGCCGGGCCTGCGGCAGGAGCGAGCCGACTCCGTGAGCAGGACGCGCGTGTCCCGCGGGGGTGGCCGAGCCCAGCCTCCTTTCTGCAGAGCTGCAGACGGAGGTTCAACAGGGGGTGCCAGAGCCTCGGTTTTGAATTTTTCTCCTTTAATTTTTGTTAATCCCGGTCCCACTGACCTTAGTCACACCCAGTGCTCCTGGGACATGGAGTGATTGGAGGCAGGAATACTAGAACTTGAAAGCGTTCTAGTAGCAAGACAGGTGTAGACATTTGGCAATTGGTACTTTTTTCTTTTAATATATTTTTATTGATTTCAGAGAGGAAGGGAGAGGAAGAGAGAGATAGAAACATCAATGATGAGAGGGAATCATTGATTGGCTGTCTCCTGCACGCCCCCTACTGGGGATTGAGCCTGCAACCTGGGCATATGCCCTTGACCGGAATCGAACCCGGGACCCTTGAGTCCACAGACCGACGCTCCATCCATTGAGCCAAACCAGCTAGGGCAATTGGTGCTTTTTAAACATTCCCCGGGAACGTGACATTGTGCCTGGGTAAGTTTAGCCTTGGATTTGCTGCCAGGCGGCGAGGCCTCCGGTTGGTGTCATGTTGTCACATAAACTTGCTGTCTATTGGGAAGTGGCCCCTGGTGCCCGTGGTGGGCTCACCAGCTCACTAGTTTGGGGCTCTGCTGCCCGTGCCAGGATGGGACCCCCAGCAAGGGAAGCCGGGAAGCAGTTCCCTACCTGAGTCTGACATGACAGGGCACTGCCCGGGGGAGTCACTTCAGAGCATGCTCAGTCCTCACGTCCCGCCCCATGGACACGAGGGTGTGAGGAGCAGGCCACAGCCTCAGCCTCTGGGACAGACGGACCCCGAGGAGGGAGCTACACGTAGTGGACACGTGGCCTAGGCAGGTTCAGTCACCCCTGAGCCTCCATTTGCTGACCTGTAAAATGGGGAGAGTCATGGTACTCAGCATAGAGGGGCCTCGAGGACAGGAGATGAGGCGTGAGACGCACTTAGCTCAGTGTCCACACATAGTAGGTGCTCAGGAAACAGGAGCTAGCTTGTCCTACAGCCACACAGCAAGGAGATGAGAAAGCTGGGTTTCTGGTGACTCTTGGTGGGTCCAGGGGCACCGCTGGACGCCCGGTCGCCATTGCTGTCGGGCCTGCCGTGGGTTTAACCCCTGGGCCCGGCTCTTGCCTGTTCCCCACCCCCCTGCCGTCCTAGCTCAGGCCCCATCCATAGAGGGGCCTCGAGGACAGGAGATGAGGCGTGAGACGCACTTAGCTCAGTGTCCGCACATAGTAGGTGCTCAGGAAACAGGAGCTAGCTTGTCCTACAGCCACACAGCAAGAGATGAAAAAGCTGGGTTTCCAGTGACCCTTGGTGGGTCCAGGGGCACCGCTGGACGCCCGGTTGCCATTGCTGTCGGGCCTGCCGTGGGTTTAACCCCTGGGCCCGGCTCTTGCCTGTTCCCCACCCCTCTACTGTCCTAGCTCAGTCCCCATTGGGTTTCCTTGCAGAGTAAAAATGCGCCTCACAGCCAGGGCGAGTACGACGTCTACAGCACCTTCCAGAGCCACGAGCCGGAGTTCGACTATCTCAAGAGCCTGGAGATAGAGGAGAAAATCAACAAGATCAAATGGCTCCCTCAGCAGAACGCCGCCCACTCCCTGCTGTCCACCAACGGTGAGGGCGTGCCTGCGTGCGCGTGTGCCTGAGCGTGTGTGTGTTCCCGAGCATGTGTGTGTGCATGCATGTGTGTGTGTGCCCAAGCACGTGTGTGTCTGAGCATGTGTGTATGTGTGTGTGTGCCCGAGCATGTGTGTGTGCAGGCATGAGTGTGTGCCTGAGCATGTGTGCGTGCGTGCATGTGTGTGTGCCCAAGCATGTGTGTTTGAGCATGTGTGTATGTATGTGTGTCCAAGCATGTGTGTGCAGGCATGAGTGTGTGTCTGAGCATGTGTGTGTGCATGTATGTGTGTGTGCCCAAGCACGTGTGTGTCTGAGCATGTGTGTATGTGTGTGTGTGCCCGAGCATGTGTGTGTGCAGGCATGAGTGTGTGCCTGAGCATGTGTGCGTGCGTGCATGTGTGTGTGCCCAAGCATGTGTGTTTGAGCATGTGTGTATGTATGTGTGTCCAAGCATGTGTGTGCAGGCATGAGTGTGTGTCTGAGCATGTGTGTGTGCATGTATGTGTGTGTGCCCAAGCACGTGTGTGTCTGAGCATGTGTGTGTGCCTGAGCATGTGTGTGTGTGCATGTGTGTGTCCAAGCATGTGTGTGCAGGCATGAGTGTGTGTCTGAGCATGTGTGTGTGTGCCTGTGTGCCCGAGTGTGTGTGCAGGCGTGTGTGTGCCTGAGTGTGTGCATGCAGGTGTAGGCGTGTGATGTCACGGTTTGCATCAAATGCTATTTTCACCTCACTGACAGGGTGAGCATTTTCCTCGGTCTTTGGCTCCTAAAAAACACATCTGATCTGCGTGTAAATTCCACCCGGTGAATGTGCCCCTGTCCCCGCCTTCCCTGTTGGACACGGGCCATCCCATGGTTATGCGCAGCGCCATGAACATGGTTGTGATATTCTCCCCTGGGGTGGAGGGCCAGGGAACACAGGGACGCCTTAGGCAGACTTGATCTCCATCTGCCCCTCAGACGCAGGACACCCTGGGAAGAGCGATGGCGCCCCCCACCCAAGGCCAGCTGCCCGAGGGGAAGGCCATAGCCGGGATCCCCTCTTCCTTGGGGACCTCCGTCTGATTTCTATTAGGGCCTTCATCTGATTGGACGAGGCCCACCCAGACTAGGGAGGGTGATCTGCTGTACTTTGTGGGTTAAACGTTACTCTCATCTCAACACCTTCACAGCCACATTCACACACGTCTGACCAAAGAGCTGGTGCCTGCGGCTTAGCCCAGCCGACACATAAATCAGCCCTCACAGCTGCCAAGTTATTCTTTCGATGTTGTTGGCGGATGGCAGAGAAGTGAGGCTCCCGGAGAGTGGGTGCTGGATGGTGCGGGGGGGGGGGGGGGGGGGGGGGGACATTTCCCCTGGGAGGAGGCCTCAGGGAGAGGCGCTTGGACGCGGGGAGCTGTGTCAGGGCCGTCTCTCTGGGGATCGGTGAGAGACTGATCACTCCCCTGAGCGTGCCGTGCCCTTTGACCCAGCAACGTCACCGTGGGGATCCGTGGTGAGGAGCGAGAGAAGGAAGGCAGGTGTCCCACGCGTGGAGATGTTCGCTGGGGCCGTTTACCTGGGAGGAAATTGGAACGAACCACCTCTCCCAGCACAGGGTGGCGGCCGAGCGAGCTCCAGGCGGTGCGTCCGTATCTGGTGGACGAGGGCGGATGGATGGCCCGTTCTCCGTGTTAATCGTGGGTCTTGTTTCACTTTGTTCTGTTTTTAAAGACAAAACCATCAAATTATGGAAGATTACCGAACGAGATAAGAGGCCCGAGGGCTATAACCTGAAAGACGAGGAAGGGAAACTCAAGGACCTGTCCACCGTGACGTCACTGCAGGTAAGCGGCCGGCTGGGAAGACGGTGACGTCACTGCAGGTAAGCGGCCGGCTGGGGAGACGGTGACGTCACTGCAGGTAAGCGGCCGGCTGGGGAGACGGTGACGTCACTGCAGGTAAGCGGCCGGCTGGGGAGACGGTGACGTCACTGCAGGTAAGCGGCCGGCTGGGGAGACGGTGACGTCACTGCAGGTAAGCGGCCGGCTGGGGAGACGGTGACGTCACTGCAGGTAAGCGGCCGGCTGGGGAGACGGTGACGTCACTGCAGGTAAGCGGCCGGCTGGGGAGACGGTGACGTCACTGCAGGTAAGCGGCCGGCTGGGGAGACGGTGACGTCACTGCAGGTAAGCGGCCGGCTGGGGAGACGGTGACGTCACTGCAGGTAAGCGGCCGGCTGGGGAGACGGTGACGTCACTGCAGGTAAGCGGCCGGCTGGGGAGACGGTGACGTCACTGCAGGTAAGCGGCCGGCTGGGGAGACGGTGACGTCACTGCAGGTAAGCGGCCGGCTGGGGAGACGGTGACGTCACTGCAGGTAAGCGGCCGGCTGGGGAGACGGTGACGTCACTGCAGGTAAGCGGCCGGCTGGGGAGACGGTGACGTCACTGCAGGTAAGCGGCCGGCTGGGGAGACGGTGACGTCACTGCAGGTAAGCGGCCGGCTGGGGAGACGGTGACGTCACTGCAGGTAAGCGGCCGGCTGGGGAGACGGTGACGTCACTGCAGGTAAGCGGCCGGCTGGGGAGACGGTGACGTCACTGCAGGTAAGCGGCCGGCTGGGGAGACGGTGACGTCACTGCAGGTAAGCGGCCGGCTGGGGAGACGGTGACGTCACTGCAGGTGAGCGGCCGGCTGGGGAGACTGCGGCCGTCAGGAAGCACGTCTGTGGTTCCTTTATTAGCCGACGAGGATCGTAGGGCTCGAGGTCCTGGTGAGTTGAGCCACAGTCAGCGCAGACCCTGGCTGCGGTCATCTGCCTGCTCCGTGCCTCAGTGTCCCCACCTCCATGCAGAGATGACCTTCTCCTGGAGGCCTCCTGAGGACAAGGTGTCCCACGTCCATAAAGAGCCTTTCAGCTGCAACTGAGGGTGCAGAGCAAGTCCTGCAACCCCTTGTCACACAAAGAGGGAAACTGGGGCCCAGAGAGGGGCAGGATCTCACCCGAAGCCGCCCAGCTAGTGAGTGGCAGAGCCAGCGGGACCCGTGGCTGAGCTGAGTGGACTCCGAGCCCTTCGCCGAGGGCCAGAGCGGGGCCTGGGGCCGCGACTCTTCCAGCTTCTACGAAGTCTCAGCCTCCAAGATTGCCTTTGATTGACAAAGAGCCGGCGGTTAAGCCACGGAGCCGTGCTAGAGCCAGCCCAGCCCTCAACATGATTCAAAGGCCGAAGGACTCCTCTCTCTCCCAGCCGCGGCACCAGAAGAAAGGGTTCCATGGAGTCACGGGCCGGGGTTCAAATCCTGCCTCTGCCACCTCCTGGCGGTGTGACCGGGCGGGCTCCAGGCTCCACAGCCTCGGTTCTTCATCGGGAACAGGGGTGAGCACTGTGGCAGGTGTGTCTTCAAGCACTCTGGCTGGCACAGCTCGTTGAACCCTCACCCAAATCCTGTCACGTGGCATTATCACCCCCATTTCACAGACGAGGGAACCGAGAGCTGGGATCCAAACCCAGGGCAGGCTGGCCCAGAATCGGCATCCGTCTGCTCTGACGTGGCCAGGAGGCCCCTGCCTCACAGGAGAGCTGCAGGACGGTCAGTGGCGTCCCGGGGAGGACTGTGGAGAAGCCGGCCCCTTCCCCCTGCAGCAGGCTGGGAAGCACACGGTGCCGCCTCCTCTGTCCCTGGCTTCCAGACACCGGGAGCACAGTGGGTGCTGCGGACGTGCTTGCTGAAGGAGGTGCTGACCCGGATTCACCCATTCAGCACACACGCTTATTGAGCACCTACTGTGTGCAGGCCCAGCTTGAGGCACTGGGAGGCTGCAGTGAACACAGAGCCCGAGGCAGGATGGGGCCTAAGTCTTGTTGGTGTCCCAGTGCTTGGGACAGGCCTGCCTCAGAGGAGGTGGCCCCAGAGGGCCATGAAGGAGCGGGGACCAGTGTCGGGAAGTGACTGCTCTCTTCAGCTCCAGTTTGCACATCCTAGCAGACTTTTAAAAAATATATTTGTATTGATTTCAGAGAGGAAGGGAGAGGGAGAGAGAGATAGAAACAATGATAAGAGAATCATTGATCGGTTGCCTCCTGCATGCCCCCTACTGGGGATCAAGCCTGCAACTCGGCATGTGCTCTGACGGAATCGAACTGTGACCTCCTGGTTCATAGATCAATGCTCAACCACTGAGCCACGCCAGCTGGGCCGTTCTGGCAGAATTGGAAAGGCTCGTTCCTGTCACGTGAAATGCCGTCTCCCTCAGTTCGTTCCTCAGCTGCGAGTGTGGGCTGCTCTGAGCTGCCTGGGCTGGGTGGGGTGAGCGCCTCTCCGGGGCTCGCAGACAAACTGCTCCCCACTCCCTGCACTGCCGCTGGGTGGCTTTGGGCATTCCCCTGCTCCCGCCTCAGTTTCCTCACCGGCAAAATGGAGATGATGCCTCGCTTCTTCTGAAACGACCGCCGGCGCACGCACGGAGCATCCCGCGAATTGTCATAAATACGAAGTGGAGATCAGTGCTGTTCCCCAGAAGGAGAAATAAACGTTTAAACACGGTGGCCTCTAAATGACCGGCGAATTGCACAAATAAATTCTGAGAAGGCAGGGAAGCCAATTATCTGGGTTGTCGAGTAAAGGGAGTGATGGTGTCCCGCCCCCACCGCCAGCCCCAGGCAAGTCTAGGAGGGTTTCCTCTGGTGAGAAAGATGCAATTATCACCTCTTGATGGCCTGGCGTCTGCGGCAGAGCCATGGCCCACGGGAATCTCAATCTCGTTTATTTCCCTCCCAGCATCGGAGATGTTCTGTACATCCCACACATCCCGAGACGGCACTTAACATAAACTGAGGCTGCGGGAGAGAGGGGGAGACACGCGGGTCTTTCCTCCCCGCCTAGCACTGCCCGGGGACTCACTGTATTAGCTCTGAGCAGGCACCAGCCTCACCCCCTTTACAGAAAAGGGAACTGAGGCCTGAGATGTTACCCAGTGAAGGTAACACTGGTGAGTGGCAGGGCAGGCTTAAAAGCTGCAGGCGGGTCTCAGTCTGCACTTTGCACCAGGAACCCTCAGGAGCAGTCACCCCAGCTTCCTGGCCCGACTCTCATTTCCTGACCCCGTCCGTGACTTAGGCAAGTTGGGTTCATCTTGGCATCCAGTCCTCTCACCGGTGATGTGGGGATGGCAGTGCCAGCCCCATTTCCTGGGCGTCGAGCCCAGGCCAGGCCATTGTGTCTGTCTGTCTGTCCTCGCACCTTTGAAATCTCACAGTTTCCTGGAGTGACACACAGCAGTGTATGCTGAGCCCCGACAGAGATGTGGGCCGTGTGCTGGGTGTGTCCGGGGAGTGTGCCAGCCCTACCTACCAGGGCAGCTGCACTTCTGGGCGGGGGGGCCGTTGCCTCCAGATCCTGCAGGAGGAGTTGGGGTTCACTAGCTGTCCCAAGGCGGGGGGGGCGTCCCAGACAGAGAGCACGAAGGGAAGCAGAGGCGTGCATCTGATACTGTCTCAGGGACTCCTCACACGTCCGAGGTGGGAGTTTGTATGAGTGAGGCTAACACTGATGGCTCTAACAGATGACCCCGCATTGCAGGGCAGAGCACACAGAAATGTAATTCTCGCCCTGGCCGGTTTGGCTCAGCGGATAGAGCGTCGGCCTGCGGACTAAAGGGTCCCAGGTTTGATTCTGGTCAAAGGCACATGCCTGGGTTGTGGGCTCGTTCCCCAGGGTGGGGCATGCAGGAGGCAGCCAATCAGTGATTCTCTCTCATCATTGATGTTTCTCTCTCTCCCTCTCTCTTCCTCTCTGAAATCAATATAAAAAATATTTTTAAAAATTAAAAAAATATATAATTCTCACTCCTAGCAAGGTGCTCCTGCAGGGACACAGCCTCCTGCCATTCCATGTGCCTCCATCCCTGAAGGTTGGGTCTTCACCTTCCTTCAGTGGAAGGAGAAAGAGGATAGAAAAGGCACACCTGCCTCTTAACCACCTTGGCCCATAGTGCCAGGCATCACTGTACTCACAGTCCATTGGTCAGAACCAGTCATGTGGCCACACCCAGATGCAAAGGTAGCTGGGAAACGTAGTCCTTTTCTGGGCAGCCACTTGTCACTTCCTGGTAGAAGGGATGCAAATGTTTGGTGGACAGTCAGCTGACTCTGCCATGGTACCTTCTCATTCCATTTGAGAGATGAGGAAATTGGGGTGCGAAGGGGTTCAGTCACTTATTCAGAGTCACATGGTGGGCTCAGAACCAACCCCGGGAGGCCAAGCGAAGGAGGTGGGCTTTCCTACAGGGCCGGTGGCGATGGACATTGGCCACGTGCACTGCTTATTTCTGACACGTGCGGGATGGATGCCCACTGGTGCACGCCCCGCTGTGGCTGCCTGGCCCAGGCGGCCTGCCCCCGGCAAGTGGCCCTGCTCTGACCTGCCCTCCTCCTCGTAGGTGCCCGTGCTGAAGCCCATGGACCTGATGGTGGAGGTGAGCCCACGGAGGGTCTTTGCCAATGGCCACACCTACCACATCAACTCCATCTCCGTCAACAGCGACTGCGAGACGTACATGTCGGCCGACGACCTGCGCATCAACCTCTGGCACCTGGCCATCACCGACAGGAGCTTCAGTATCCTTTCCCGCCGCAGCCGCCGGCGTCTCCCGCGGTGGCTTCTGGGTGGGCTGGCTGGCTGGCTTGTAAGGAGCTGGCTTGGGGGCTTCTGCTTCGTTCAGCTTCGGTGAGTCCACAGTGTGTGAATGACGCGCAGACGTGAGCTCATGCTGAGAATTTATGAACACTTTGAAACCACGGCTGTGAGGGTTACATTTGACCCCTCGCCTCCTCCTCGCCAGGGTGGCCATGATCCCTGTCACCCTGGGACCTCACCAGGGACGAAGGAGGAGATAAGGTCCTGGGGTCACCCCTCCCAGAGGAGGGACAGCTGATCCTCCTGAGACCGTCCACCAAAGGCTCCTCTGGACCCTCCCTGCTGGGGTCCCACCCAGGGCTTAGAGTGACAACTGGGGTGTCAAAAGCCCAGCCGGACGGAGTCGGGGGCCCTGCTTGTGGCTCCCTGCGTCTGGACAAGCTAGGGGCAAGAGGATTGAGTCCAGTGCCCACCAGCTGGTGTGGAATGAACTGTCCATACACGAGCATGGGCCTGGGGAAGGGCTGCAGTGGAGAGAGCAGGCTGGTTGCTCAGCTGTCCCTGTTCTGAAGTCCGATAATAATAACAGTAATTACAGCGAGTCTCCTGTGTAGCATTAACACTTATTAATATTAACTCATTTCACCCCCACAACAACCCCGTGAGGCAGGTATGGCCACGATCCTCCTTTACAGATGAGGAAACTGAGGCACAGGGAGCCCAAGTGAAGGTGCTCAGAGCCCACTCCTAGCAGGTGTCGCACCTCCAGCCCCCGAGTCTCGTTTCCAACTCCGACACCAGGCTGCTCCGTGAAGGATGGTGCCCAGATGGAGTGAAGGAGGCCCTGCTCCTGCTGCCCCTCCGGAGCAGGCGGACATAAACCGTCGATGCAATAAGCGAGGGGAGCATCCGGCAGGCGAGCAGGCGGGCGGTGCTGTGGGAGCGAGTGGGCCAGAGAGCACATGGGCGCGTTTTTCTCCAGCCATGATTCGCCGGGCTGCAGGCGCGGGGTGGGTGGAGAGAGCCAGGGCAGCGGTTTTGCCAAGTGCACAGGCAGACATGGGGCTGCTGGTGAAGGCAAGGAGTGGAAATAATGACTGGCCCCAGGACCTGGCAGCCGAGGAGGCGAGGGCTGGTGACAGGAAGGGAGCGTCTGGGGATTGGGGTCCCCATGGGACCTGGGGGGCTTCCCTGGCTGCAGATCCTGCCTGTGTGTAGCCTGATTTGTGAAACTGAATTGTTAGTTGATCAGATATAGCAGCGCCCTGGCCTTGGGGGTGGAGGAGCGTGCGTGGCATCGCCTGCCGGCTGCAGAGCGGGGCTCCGGCAGCCTCGCTGTAGACCTAGGTGCCAGCTCGGCAGACGGAGGAGCGATGGAGTCTCCAGCCCCCGGTGGCCGTGCAGACCTCCCCCGACCGACCGGCTCATCGGGGAATCAGGCTGCATGTGGCCCTCCGTGCGGCCTGCTGCTGCTCGACCACCAGTGAGGACACGGGGAGACCGGGCACTGTCCATGGAGCCACCTCCGCTGGCAGGGAGGTGTCAGGTGGGGCGATGGGTCCGATAGCAGCCGAGCGATGAGGAAGGTGTTTCCTTTCCAGTGGGGGGCAGGGTTGGGGGGAGGTCCAGAAAGCTGTGACTGGCTGAGCTGGGCACCTGCTCTGAATTTGAGACACTCTTTGAGCACGGACCCGCCGGGGGACCTGGGCCTGGGGCCTCCGTCCCTCTAACTCCGGTTCTGCGGCGTATCGCCTTGTCCCGAGGCTGCTGTTCAGTCCTCAAAGCCGCTGGCTGCGTTACCGTCTCCTGTGTCCAAACAGGAACACTTCCCACTTACGCAGAATTAATTTTTAGCAAAGGTTTTCCAGAGAGAGGAACACTTTTCTAATCAGGGAGAAGAGTGGGCACGTTTGGACCACTTTTTGAAGGAGAGCTGACTCAGAGGCCTTTCTCTGGCTAATTCCAGAACCGGCTGCTCTGATCGGAGGGAGGGGCCTGGCTTCCTGAGCCTCTGCTGTGCCCCCAGCACACGCAGGTGCGTGCCGTAATCTGCCAGCAAGGCTGACCGTTAGGGGTCCCCCAGCTTCCTTCTCCCTCGCCCACAGAATGGAAAGGATGCAGGCCCTTCCATCCTCCCCCGATGGCTCTGGAACTGTGTGCTGCTCTCCATCCCATCAGAGGCTCAGCTCGGGCCACCCCAGCCCTGCCTGGCCGTGGCCTGCATCCAACCTTGCCCAGCCAGCCAGCCAGCCCACCGCAGTGAGAGTGGCTGACCACATCAGCCCCCTGCCAAAAGCTCTCATCCGCTTCCCATCGGCTTCTGGACAAAGTCCGAACCACTCAGCAGTGTCCTACGGCGCTTGGTGACTGGCCCTGCCCACCTCCCCAGGGTCCTGGGCTCCAGGCTGGCCCACACCTTCAGGCCACTGGGCTTCCCTCCCTGTCACAGGGCCGGGCCAGTGCTCTGCCTTCTGCTGGCCCTTCGCTGACCAGCCTTCTCCCTTTCGTAGCCGGGCTGGCTCCTGTTTGCCCCCTTTGCTCAGTCACCTGTGCCATGTCCACTCAGCGCCCCTCCCAGGCTGGTCAGAGCCCCTCTGGGCCCCCCTCCCTATCACACTGGGCATCACACTGGGCTTCCCTCACCTGATTGATTGGCCCCGCCCCCATTTCCAGTGACACCCTGGGGGTTAGGAGCCCAGTCGGCGCCCTCTCTGTATCCCCACATGTAATGCAGGGCCCGCACATGGTAGGTACTTGTGAATGGTTCTGAATGGAGTGAGGAGGCTCACAGTGTCCACCTGGTCCTGGGATGGAGACTCCCCCTGTGAGTCTGGGCTCCAGGGTGCTCGGGTCCCAGACACTACAGAGGAGCAGCCTGGGTGCTGGGATCTGGACCCCTGGGCTCGGTTCACTGCTTAACGTCCTGGGCCGTCTGTTCACACGAATGTAAACTGGGCCAAATTCCTTAACATGAGGACGTTTGTAAGGAATAAAGGAGTCAGTCACTAGTTGGGCCCCAGCCGGTGGCTGGCAGCATTTTCCCTCTTCAACAACAGCCCCCTGGGATAGTTACGGCTCATTCTCCGAATTCCTGCTGGTTCTCTGATTGTGTGTTTCACCCCAATGCCGTCTCCACATCTCTTTAAACCACCGCTCGCATCCTTCAGTACCAACATTCTGAGACTGTTGGGCAGCGCTGGGTGATTTTTCTCGAGTGCGATGCGTCTTAAAGGTAACAGGTTGCACAGGCGGCCTCAGCGGAGGAATCTTTGCTTTATGTTTAGCACTGGAGGATTGCAAAGATGGCTCCATTGATTCTCCCCCCGCCCCCTCCTCCCTGAGTGATTTCTCCTGGTGGAAGCTGGCATTGCACCAGCCCTCAGTCTGAAACAATGTCTAATTCCTGTTTCCTGAGCAGATCCCGAAGCGAGGCTGGGTGGTGGGCCAGCAGTCAGGGCAGAGGCTCCAAGGCTCTGGCGCAGCCCGAGGAAACAATGCAGGGAACAATGGAGGGGACCCGCCAAGGCCCCTCCGCCTGCCAGGCTCTCTGCTGGCAAAGCACCGAGAGCCCCGGGCCCAACCGCTTCAGTCACCAGCCTCGCTGTTCCCATCCCGTCAGTGGGCTCTGCCTCTGGGGCCGGGGCTGGGCGGGTGGAGCCGGCGAGTATGGGGCCTGATGTGCCCTAGACCCACGACCCACTCCTCCATGACCACCGTCGCCACTCACAGGTGCCTCTTTTCATGCTCCCGCAGTGCCACTGTACAGAGGAGGAAACGGGGGAGCGTCTGCTCAGAAATGCCCCAAGTCCCCAAGTCCGAATCCCCAACATCAGTTTTCCGCTTGGAAAACCTGTTGTTAAACCGTGACAGCCCATCACTGCTGCTTTGAGGCCTCCCCAAGGCCAGGCGGGTCAGCCTCCTCCACTCTGAGTGTGCCTGCGCGCTGTCCACGGTGCTGACCCAACTCCCAGCATGCTGCCCAGGGCTCTGACTCCCTGTGCGCTGTCCATGGTGCTGACCAAACTCCCAGCAAGCTGCCCAGGGCGCTGATTCCCTCCCTTTGCGCTGTCCATGGTGCCGACCCAACTCCCAGCAGCAAGCTGCCCAGGGCGCTGACTCACTCCCTGTGCGCTGTCCACGGTGCTGACTCATCCGGCAGCCAGTCCTGCAATCGCCCTCACCACCTCCCACACACCGGCCTTGCTCTGTGCCACTTACTCTGTGCCAGATGGCGTTCTAAGCACCTGGAACATGTTAACCTACTTAATCCTCTCGGCGACACTGTGGAGCAGACGTTATGAGCACGCCCCCCTTTTTTGTTTGGTTTGTTTTTGTTAATCCTCACATGAGGATATTTTTCCATTTCAGAGAAAGTGGAAGGGAGGGGGAGAGAGAGAGAGACAGAGAGACAGAGAGAAACACTGATGTGAGAGAGACACATTGATTGGTTGTCTCCCACATGTGCCCTGACTGGGCCCGGGGGTTTGAGCCTGCAGCCGAGGTATGTGCCCTTGACAGGAATCAAACCGGGGACCCTTCAGTCTGCAGGCCGATGCTCTATCCACTGAGCCAAATGGGCCAGGGCAACATGCCACTGTTACAGGAGGAAACGAAGCCACAGAAAGGTTAGGTGATTGACCCAGAGTCCCAGCTGGGCAGTGGCAGGGCCTGGGAGTCAGACTTGGGGCCTCTCATGTAGATGGTCCTTTCAGCTCCGAGAAGTGGGTGCACTGCCCGCGGCCTTTCCTCGCCCCGGCCACGCAGACTGCCCATCAGCCCCCGCGATGGGACAATGTCTCCTGGCTCTTGTTTTGGATTCTAAGGGAAAGCGGGCACTTTCCACACCCCTCCAGGCCACACTGGGACTGTTTGTAACACAGGTGGCCGATGCATGAGCTCTGGCCGCTGTCTGTTTCTAACGCTTCCTGTAATGGTGGGGACGTGCCACTCCGTGGTGCTTCCGATCCCGCCTGACAGGCCT